TTGAAAAACTACTTAATGGTTGGAACTGTACTTATTTTATTTTCAGTTCCAAGTTATCTCCCTATCTCCACCGCCTTCTCCACCCATTAAGAAGGCAAGAAGTATGATGCCTATTATAACATATGAAGTCACATAAAACACATTTCCACTTTTAAAAATATTTTTATTTTCAAGTCTGGATGTAATTAGATCTCCCTTACTTAGGGGTCTCTGAGCAGACACTGGATAACCACTTGTACTCACTCTCATTCACTCCATATCATCTTGTTTTTGCCTCTGTAACATCTTTTATTTACTATATCTTGCCGCTGTCATAACTCCCACCCTAGTTCAGGACCTTATCGCTCCTCACCTGGACAGTTGCGAGCGGCTCCTCATTATTCCCCCTGACATTGATCTGTCTGAGTAAGCCCTAGTCCACCCTCCACACAGTTGCCTGACTGGCTTTCCAGTGGGATAGATCTGACTTGTCATCTCCTTCCTCCCACCATCACCAGACGCTGTGGTACCATATATTACATATTCTAGGATCAAATATAAGCTCTTCTGTTTGGCATTTAAATTTTTCCACAGCCTTTGCCTTTCTTATATTTCTAGCCTTCTTACACTTACCTTCCCTCTGTACATTCTATGGTTCAGCCACATTGGCCAACCTGCTGGTGCTTAGACATGACTGACTTTTTATCTCCAATTTTCACACATGAAACTGTCTCCTATTCCTAATAGGTGCACCCTTCTTACTTCTATCTTCTTGATTCCCTGCATTCTTTTAAGATTTAGTTTAAATACTGCCTTCTGTAGGAGGTCTTTCCTTATCTCCTCCTTCCAACTCTCCATCCTAGTTTCTTCCCCTCAAAGGTTACTTTCCTTCCAGTCTATTGAATTTCAGGGACTGTTGTTTTTTCCCTCTTTTCTTTGCATCTTTATTGTTTAGCATAATACCTGACACATAGTAAGCACTTCATAAATGCCTGTTGGTCGTTTTTGCAACACTGTAATGGAGATTCTCTTTTGGGTATGTTGGGTAGATTGGACTAAGCGACTGCTGATATCTGTTCCAACTCAATTTATTTTTTTCCTGTTTTCAGGGTGCGAAAGTAAAATGCCAGAATTGTTTTAGTTTGCTTTTCTCTTATGTTATGCAGGTTTTCTTTTTCATTAAAAACAATAGCAGCAGCAACAACAACAAGAAAACGTTAACTGGGAAGACACCAGATTCATCTAGTAATTGGCAATTTTGTTTGCATCTCATATTAATTGCCGCAAGACTAAAATGGGAGAAAGTATTCTTAGATCTTCTCTAGAATCATAAAAGTACAGAATGAACATCACTGGCTAGATGAATTGTCACAGAGTCATGCATAGGTTTAGAGCTGGAAGGGGCTCCCGCCGTTTTATAGATGGAGAAGCTGAGGCCCAGAGAGGCTGATGCCACCTCTCTTCCCACTTATATAGCTCATAAGTGTCTGAAATGGAATTCAAACCTAGGTCTGCTCAGTATTCTTATCTACTATATCACGTTGCCTCTCAACTAGGCCAGTGAGCAAGATCTGGTTAGATGATGGAGCCTTTAGGCAACAAGTGACAGAGAATAAAGGAATACTGGAAGATGCTAATCATATTTTCTTTGTCTCTGGGCCTTCATCTGATGGAGCTCAGGAAGGAAATCCCAGGCAGTTGAAGGAGGCAGAGTGTGTGCTAAGATGATGCTCTGATTCATCTCTCCCTTCCTCTTTGTAATATCTGTGTGGGATTTGTCCCCTAATTTGCTCAGTACCATCAAATGTCCCATTGTGATTACCAGCGGAGACTGGGTATTTTCAGGAGAATGCTGGAAACCAACAATAATAAAACAGCAAGAACTAATCCCTTGTCTGATGATAATAATTTTCTTATACCACATATCTTTGTAGGGAACATTCCCTTAACAGCAAGAGTAACTACTCTGGTTAGTTTTTGTCTCTTAAAGCAACCTACCAAGGAGCCTAATTTTTATTTCCTCACGTAGCTTTAGTTGTAGCATCTAATATTACTAGTGGCAGTATTCTTAATTCTCTTTTGCTTGTGGTATTGTATTATGTCTATGTAAGTGCTCATGTATGGGGTATTGTACAATTAGGTCTTTTTGTGTGGTTGGTTTTTTTTGTTTGTTTACTAATTTGTTCACATGAGTGACTGCTTACAGGCAGGGAAAATGCAAAATGCAGACTTTTACAATAGACTCTTAGCAGTATCACCTTTTGAAGACAAGGTTATATAGTATTTTCCCCCTAGAGATGGAAGAAGCAAAGATCACATATGGAGCCATCATATTTTTCTCTTTTAGCTAATGGTGTCAGAATACTATAATACATACAGATGCGATGATATTGAAATAATATTGGATAGTGTTGATATAAAGGGCTTTGTTTAGAGGCTAAAGGTGTTGGGCATCATATGGTCCTAGTAAAATATTTCTGTAATTGAATGGAATTTAATACTTTAGCCTGCTACCAGATTAATAATCCTAAAATCCTATTTCTGCCTTGTCACTTTGTTGAACAAAACCCTTCAGTTCCTTATTATTTACAAAGTCTGGTTCAGACTTATTAACCTGACCCACAGATGAGTCCTTTCATAATTTTCCCTCATTTCACATTTTGTCACCTTTTGTCACATTGCTTTATTATTTCTTCCTACGTCTCTTTTTTTGCCTCAGTTTTTCATGCTGTACTCTTCCTCAATTGAATTACCCTTTCCTTCACATATCTCAACTTATCTATTTTTCAAGACTCTTGTCATAACCAGGTTCCTCCACAGAGATTCCCTTACTCCTGAAAATCCACCCTAATCTTGCCATTTTGTGAACTATCATAGCGCTTCTCGGTCTGCTTATTACACCTTCAGCAATTATTTCCTTGTATTATTCTACTTGGGTGCCCCATTGTGTCATGGAGGTGAACCTGGGTTCTTGAAGGCTTTGTTGGTGAAGCATAAACTCTAGCTGGGCCTATCTACCATGCCGAAAGTCTGGGAGTACTAGCTTAGTAACGATGATGATGATAAATTAGATGTCATTTGTGGACCAGCCTAACTAACATTGGAGAGAGGAATCTCCCCAAGTTGCCCACAATGTGATGAAATTTTCTAACATCTGACAGACTTGGTAGTTCTTGGGAGACTATATTCTAAGGAGTTACAGAGGACTTACAAATATGAGTTGGTGGAGAATATTCAAGTAGCATTAGACAACTTATCAAGACCAATCCCCTTAACTCGGTTGTCACCTCTACTTCTACGTCATTGACTTGAGACTTTCAAGTAACAATAATAATATTAATTTGAAAAATGACTGTGCTTTCAGCAGGTCAGTGTGATCTGATAGCATCAGCAAGAGAATTTCTAAAACTGTGTCCTGAAACTAGGGCCGCCAAGTTCATTGTCTAATACGTGGTAGTTAGCACACTGAACTGTTGATCTTTCCTTGTTGGCACAGAGATTTTATAGTTCAGCGTACCTAGTGTTTAGAAAATAGTCCAAGTGGGTCACTTACTAAGTAATTAGTTTGATTTATTTCCTTCTATTGTGTTTTTATTTGTTAGAATCAGTTTTTGTTGGAAGAAGGGAGGAACTTTGTACTTTCACTGAAAGAAGCTTAGTCTGGGAACATTTGAGAACCTGTGATACCAGCGATAAACTGCAACTATCCCATACTCTGGCTTTACATTTAGAAGTATCAGGACCCAGATTTAGGAAAGATAATTGTGTGTCAGAAGCCATGGTGGAAATAAATTGGAGATGTGGTCATTGGCTTAATCTCGACTGTAGAGGTAATACATAGAAACATTCATAGCTGTTTCTATAGAAACTCATTCCAAAGCACTTCATTTACAACATTTGGAATTAAAACCTATTGGTACTGGAATACATTTTCTAATTTATAGTGGCCTTACTCATAATTTGACTTAATTTGATTTTTGTTGCTCTTGCTAATTTACAGTGATCTCAAGTTTGGACAAACTATCTGAAAGAATTTATCATGGTTTTATTGATTTAGATTGGATTAATTTAGTGTAACTCGAGTTGTTTTTTTAAAATTAAATTCTTCAAATCCAAATATAACTCATTAATTTTACAACCTGGACAATTTGATTCTAAGAAGGGATTACTGTATTTTAGGACAATTTATATTCAAGCTTTTCCTAATGGACCTTATATGCTATTTTGTATTTTTTCCAAGTTTCATCTGCACTCTCTTTTACTACTTGGCTATGTTATAGTAACCATGAAACCTGCAAATTCAACTCTTTAAATGAGGCCAGAATTTGGGGAAGGAGGATATAGGCATCCACAAGGCAGATCCAAGGGATAGGGTGGGGAGGAGAGGAGAGGGAGACGTGGCTCTTGTTTTGGTTTGCTGGAGTTTTTTTTTCCCTTTTAAATTTTTTTTTTTATTAATGTATTTTGATTTGTCAACAATCACTTCCAAAGCTTTTGAGTTTAAATTTTTCTCCCCATCCCTCTCCCCCTGCCTCCCCAAGGTGGCACACAGTCTGATAAAGGCTATAGATATACATTCCTATTAAACGTTTTCACATCAATGATGTTGTAAGGAAGAATTAGAACCATAGGAGGAACCACCAGAAAGAGGAAACACAACAGAAGAAAAAAATAGCAAATAGTATTGCTGGAGGTTTTTGCTTAAAGGGGAGAAGTGCTCTTAGACCAGTTAGAGCTGCAGTGGCAGATGGATTACAGCTGTGACCCTTTGGTTTTGTTCCAGTGATAGTATTTGTGTGCACTGTCAGGACGCCTTAAAAGACCCACCCTGGAAGTGATTCCATTCTATAAAGAGAGTTTTGTTTTTCTAAGGTTTCATATGTTATCATGTGGTGGTAGTGGTGATGATGGTGGTGATCCTCAATCTCTAGTTTCTTAAATTGCCATTTTAATAAGATGCATGTTGCATGGGCTGAAAATAGTATATTGATTTATGATTATTGTTTCTGTGTAAAATATAGGAACCTGGGCCCCTGGCCAAGAACTAAGGCATAAACACAGTGAGCAGCACATTCTAGAGGCTGAAGGTAATCTCTGAGCTCCTATTATTCTGTTCCTTTATTGATGTTAAGGTTGATTTTACAGTGCCTGGCACATAGTAGGCACCTAATAAATGTTGATTGATTGGTTTCATTAGAATCTTTAGATGAAATTTTTCAGAGATAGATCTTATAACATTGTAAGCCAAGTAATTAGTGTAGTAAATTGAGTGGTTGAGGAAATTTCATCCTAAATTTTAAGTGTTTGCCTCATGTCAAGTTTAACATTTATGAAAAGAATTGTTCAATTTAACATTGGATCCCTAAATCTCAGAGTTACAAAGGCCTTGTGATGCAGCCTGTATCTGAACAAGAATTTCCCTTCTATAACATATTCAAAAAGTAGTTGTCTAGCCTTTGCTTTAATGCTTCTGATGATGAGGCAAAGCCCCTCACTCCCTGGGCTTCTCATTCCATTTGTACAGCTCTTAATTGTTTAAGAGGTTTTAACCCCACATCAGGCTTGATTTTGCCTCTATAACCTTTGTCTGTTTTCCTACTTCTGTCTTGGGGCCAAACAGAAGTCTGTTCTCTTTTCCAGTCAAATGGGATATTTATAAAGTGTACCGTGCCTGGCATATAATAAGTGCTTAATAAATGCTTCTTCCCTTTCTTCGATATGATAGAGCTTAGAATGCTTAGAAAGAGCTATCAATGACTCTTTTCCCTTATCCAAGATGAATGTCCCTGGTACCTTTAACTGATGTGGTGTGATCTGACCCCCAAGTCCTAAGAGACTTATGAAGGGGTTCTTTTGCTGACTTACTTCTCCTCCCCCCCCACTTGTATTTTCTCACTATAACTGGCAGATTGGTAGGCATGCCATCTGCAATGAGCCCGTGGCTCCTACTATGCTGCTACATCAAAAAAATTAAGGGAGAAATTGGAATGAAAAAATCAATGAGTGAAGATAGTCATGTGTATTTTGTTATCCTGGGACACTGGGAGAGGAGTAAGGATTAAGGGCAAAGTAATACCAATATTGAAGATTTCATTTCATTTCAAGTTTTAGGTTTAGGAAATAAGTTTTCAAAGTCCAAAGCAGAAAGGACTGATTTATGCTCCAGGATTTCCGAGGATTAGAGGTACATTGGAACCTCAAATAAATGCCTCCATGTAGCCATTAGAATGTGAGCTCTTTGCAGGATGCTCTCAGAAAAACCTGGAAAGACTCGCATGGGCTGATGCAAAGTGAAATGTACTATGTACAAAGTAACAGCAATATTGTAAGATGATCAGCTGGGAATGACTTGGCTGTTCTCAGTAATAAAATGATCGAAGACAACTCTGAAGAACTTAGGATCAAAAATGCTATCCATCCCCAGATGAAGAACTGATGGTATCTAAATACAGATTGAAGCATACTTTTTTACTTGAAATTTTTGAGGGTTTTTTTTGGTCTATGTTTTCTTTCACAACCTAGTATAGGAATATGTTTTGCATGACTACACATGTATAACCTATATTGAATTGCTTGCCTTCTCAATGAGTGGAGTGAGGGGGAGGAAGGGAGAGAATTTGGAACTCAAAAAAAATTTTTTTTTTTGTTTAGGCAATGAGGTTAAGTGACTTGTCCAAGGTCACACAGCTAGTAAGTGTTTTTAATGTGTCTGAATCCGGATTTGAACTCAGGTCCTCCTGAATCCAGGGCTGGTGCTGTATCCACTGTGCCACCTAGCTGCCCCCCTAGAACTCAAAGTTTTCAAAACAAATGTTAAAAAATTGTTTTGACATGTAATTGGGAAAAATTAAAATACTAAGAATTCAAAAAATTAAAAAAAAAAGTAGAATGTGAGCTCCTTGAGGGCCGGGACTGTCTTCTGCCTTTTATGTATCCCTAGCACTTAACACAGTACCTGGCACATAGTAGGTACATAATAAATATTTATTGGTTGACTGACTGAACATTGCAGTGACAATAGGTCAAGGATGGGTAGGGGAGAGGATGAGAAAAGAATAAAGGGGAAGTTAGACAGGCAGATGGCATTGAAGAATAAGTGTTAATACAATTTTAACCCTCTCTACACCCTATGCAGTGGCACGTAGCTAAACATTGCTGACTCCAGAAAGGACTTTTAACTGTTAAGAGATGGCAGTCAACAGAGACTTAACAAGCAAACACTTATAAAATGTTTACTATGTGTCAGGTATTGTGCTAAGTGCTGGAAGCAAAAAGAAAGGCAAAAACAGTTCCTCTAAGAGCTTCCATTCTAACAGGGGAGAAAACACAGAAGCTGGTGCTTGAGGTGAGTTTTGAAAGAAGCTAAGGATCCTGAGAAGCAGAAGAGTAAGGAAGGAAAGCATGTCAGGGAATATTTCAGTAGTCCAGGCAAGCGGTGATGAGGTCAGGAGCATTAGTGATGGCTGTGTATGCTGTAAGGAGCCCATGGGAGAGATGTTGTGGAGGTAGACTTGATAAGACTTGGCAAGTTAGTATGGGAATTTGTGCTTATTCATCTAGGGTATATGTGCAAATCCTTTAAAGTTGTGGCGGAACATAGCGTATTTAATGTCATTTTTATTATGGGGGACATATTTGTACACTCTTTTGGTCAGGTTGTACTGGGAAAAAACAAAGGTCTTGGACTGCTTGTTAGTCTTTGAATTGTAGCCTAGTGAATTTTATACATCTGGTATGGATCATAGGAGCTACAGGATCCAGTTGTTTTAAATAAGTGAAGAGAGGTGGTGGAATATAGAAACATTTGGAAAGTACAGTGAAGGCATATTTTTTTGGACACAGCCATTGTGAGAATTTGTTTTGTTTGACTGTGCATATTTATTACAAGGGTTTTGTTTTACTTTTTTTTTTCCCAAAGAGATGGCAGGTGGGAAGGAGAGAAAAATCTTCAATTGAAAAGTTAAATAAAAGGAAGTCCAGTGAGCAGCCTTCTTGTTCACCAGCCTTATTACTCTAGAGTGTGTTCTACTGTATAGTAGCATAGTGATCTTAATCGTACTTTTTGCCCAAGTACATATTTTTGAACATATATTTGCCCAAGTACATATTTTAAAAATGTGGTTTGGTATTGGTAAACGTTTCTAGTCTTTTTTTTAATGCAGGGGTTCTATAAATTGGGGTTCTTGAACTTCTTTAAAAATATTTTAGTAACTGTTTCAACATAATTGGCTTTCTTTGTAGTCTCATGTTTTGTTTTATACATTTAAAAACATTATTCTGAGAAGAAGTCCATAGGCTTCACCAGATTGCCAAAGGAGCCTATGACATAAAAAAGGCTAAGCACTCCTGCACTAATTAATGGTGGTGTGTAGGTGACCTTGATTTCTCAAAGTCCCTACCAGTACAACGCAGACTTTGTCAGGGCCTTTCTTCCAAGCTGAAGAACCTTCCAGTAAAGTTTTGGTGCGGGACTGTGTGTGTTCTGAGCATCAGCCTGACCCATGTTTGAAGAAGCTCATGGCTTTGATCTAAGTCATGGAAGGAGTCCTTCTGTGAAATCACAGGCACTGCAGGTATATTGCTGGTCAGTAGACCTGTTTTTGTAAAGCCCTGCTTTCTTACAATCCCTATGTTCCTTTTCATTCTCTAATGAAAATAAGAGGTCATAAAGTTTTTGGGCCCCAGTTCTATTACTGTTGTAGCACTTTTTGCCTTGTATGATAAGGCATATATGAGTCTAGTAATACAAATATGTGGTGAAAAATTTAATTTTGCACATGACTCATGTGCAGCCATGCAAATGAATGCAGACTTAGATCCTGGGAGAAATTTAACTGTGGGTTTAAGAAATGAGCTGGGTGAGTAAAGAAAGGGTTCAGTAGGAAAAAAGAAAAATCAATTGATAACTCTAGGACTGTAGTTCTTGAGGTCCCCAATATTTATTGTCACTAGTTATGTCACAGCTTTTTCTACTGTGGAGAGTTGGGGTGAAAAATAAGCCAGCAGAATTTTTTTCTGCTTGAAGATTCATTAAATCTTTAGGAAATATTCAGTCACTTGTGCTGTAAGATGATTGGTTGATAGGGAGGAGGATCAAGATTCTTGGAGCTCTTGACTGAAGACTTTTTTTCCCCCCACCGAGCCTCAGCTTCTGCTCTTCTTTTCCCTTTCTGTGAAATACAGAGGTGTTCTGAGACAGTCCTTAGTAATGGGCCTTAAAATTGTGATGTCAGTGCTTTTTTTCCCTTGTGGAAGGGATAATTGCTTTTCAGATGGAGGCTTGATGAATAGAGGTGGGAAGTGTGAAGAGGAGGGAAGCCTGAAAGAATCTCTGTCTCACTAATTTTCCTTTCAGTGTCACTGATGACTTTTGTACTTACTCTAGCATTTTCCCAGCAATAGTCTGTGGGCTGAGAGTGACCTAGCAGATTGCTGCTGACCCTCGTCATCCCCCTTTCCTGTTCCTGCCTTGTCTCTGTGTGCCATAAAGTGGTGGGTGAGTTAGAATGAATCAGAATGAAGAAATGCCAATCTGAAATTTTCCTGGGGCAAAATTGAAATTTTAAAACCCACCTGTGACAGTGTGATGCCAAATTAAGGTCTATACTATATCATTTTAATCATATCTGTGACCCTTGTGTGTTCTTTAATACATGGAGACAGTTATTAAATGGGAAGCCAGGTGATGCAGTGGATAGAACGCCAGCTGGGCCTGGAGTCAGGTAGACTCATCTTCCTGAGTTCAAATGTGGCCTCAGACACTTACTAGCTGTGTGACCCTGGGCAAGTCACTTTACCCTGTTTGCCTCTGTTTCTTCATCTGTAAAATGAGCTGGAGAAGGAGATGACAAACCACTCCAGTATCTTTGCCAAGAAAACCCAAAAAGGAGCCATGAAGAGTTAGACGTGATTGAAAAATGACTAAACGATAACACACCATATCAGAGAGAAAGATAAAAATGAAAAAGGCATTAGAGTTTGTAAAGAAGAGTGATAAGGTTAGTAAAACAGAATTAAGAAGAGAGAAAAGTACACATGGTAGAGTAATAGAATGCCACCAATAAGTAATTGCTTCTGTGATAAATGT